TGCTGGGTATCGCTGCCCCGATAGAAAGCCAACAGGGTTTTGGGGGTTTTATTTTATTTTTTTTTTCCCTGGCAACCAGGCTGATGATTGTGGATCTGGCTCCCGAGCAGGTCAGACAGCAAAGCCTGGGGGAGGCAAGGGGGGGGCATCTGGGGGCAGCAGTGGCTCTGGGCTAATTTTAAGGCCGTGAGCGTGCCTGCGAAACGGTGTGCTGCAGTGGTGCTGGCGGGGAGGCTGGCTAACGGGAATGCAGGCTCTCTGACAAGGTGAATCACAGACTCTCTTCACCATCCTGCTCCATACAAATACAATCCAGGATAATGATTTCTGCCCTAGAAATGAGTTCAAGCTGCTTTTCACGTAGACTGGGCTGGAAGAAATGGGCCAGAAAGCACAGGGACGCTTTGAAGTCTTTCTCACAAACAAGTATGCATCTGAATTGAACCGCAGTTGCATCTGCATGCCTCTCCTTGAAGTCAGCATGACATCCATCACTGGCAAGCTTTTGTGGGTGTCCTCAGGATTTTTGGAACTACTGTCATGAGGCTTTACTGGCCTCAGGGGGGTCTGACCCTCACAGAGAGGAGGGACTGCCAAGCAGCGGTGCATACGTGGGCAGGGATCGGGACACCTGGGGCTTGCCTGCTGTCCCTACGGCATGTGAGGATGCTTTGGCCGCTCTTGCCTTGGGTCCCAGATGTGGCCAGCAGTGCAGAGCACCCCAGCATGTCATCCAAACAGACTTGTGTTGGCTAAGTGGTTGTGGAGAAGCTGTCCTTTCTATCCGTAACAGCAGCTTTCTTCTTAATTAGGCTTTTCAGGGCCGCCTTGGACAAAAAGCAGAAATTTCCAGGGTTTCAGAGAGGTTTTCATTGCAGAGGGGATTGCTCTAAGTTCTGGTGTGTTGGAAAGGCTCTGGAAGCCAGCAGTGCTACAGTGACCTGCCGTGAGCACTGGGGAGTTTTTGGTTTCTCTTCGTGCTCCCGTCCTTTTCTCCATCCCTCCAGAAATACTAGGCATCTTTCAAAGTGGTGCCAACTTCTGTATATCATGGGGTTAGACTCAACAGCAAATCTTTTGCTGAACTTCTTGTGAAAGGGCTACAGGAGAGCCCAAGAGCCCTGATCTCTGGGTCCTGTAATAAACACTAGCAAAAAAACACCCCCAGTTTTGGTGTGAGGCGATGCAGCGATCCCTGCAGATGCACGCAGCCAGCTCAGCACCGCGTTCTTCTCTTGCCCGTTTGTGCTCTGCTCCTTCCAGGTTCCACGTGTCGGTAGTTTGCTGGTGAAGACATGAGCTGTGGCCAGGCTTGCGTGCTTGGGAGGGGAAACCAAGGTTTGCATTTGGCCTTGACCCATAGTGAGCAAAATGTATTATTAAAAAAATAATAGCTATGTGGATTTTTTTTTTAATAGAAGTACATGCATTTTTCTGTCTTGGAAATAAACTTATTTACAGTTAGGGGCAATTTAATTATTTAATCCTTTAAAGAAAAAAAGGCTGAG